ACGACCTTGCAGATGCCCCAAAACGCCCCCCAAGAGGCTTCAAAACTGCCTCCCAGAAACCTCCGAAAGGCTTAACACGAGACCCAGACACACATTCGGTACCACTTGAGGCATATTGCCGACATACACGTTAGGCATACTGACGACGCGCCTCAGATGGTACCCGATCGGAACTACTTGAGGCATACAACGGACATGCCTCAAGTTGTATTTATTCGATGCCACTTGAGGCATACTGCCGACATGCCCCCCTCGGTCCAGAATGTGAGATTGTCGAGCTTTCGGTCCACCACCGCCCCGCGACGGCCCAAGCGCCTCCAACGCCATCAAATGTCCACGAATCCAGGCACGGTGGCGGAATGGGCCGAAGGCCATTATATAACCAAATTCAGTTCCGCGCATGTATGCACGCGTGTCGTATGAAGCGATCGCCCCACGCACCGCGCGCCGATCAAGAGGCGCACGCGCCACCGTCCTCGCCCTGGCCCGAGCGACCAGCGCGCCCTTGCGCGCGTGCACCCCTGGCTCATGAAGCGCGCGGGCGCTGACCTTAATGAGCTGCATCGCGATTCTTACGTTTCGCAGCGGGGGCTTGAGGCGATTCTGAAAAGGGTGAGGGCGGACGGGCTCCCCAGCGCGAGCAGCTCGCGCTCGCAGCTCCGAGCCCGCCATGCGTTCACTAGTGAGCCAACGCCATACGGCCCTGTGGTGCAGCCGATGGAGCTCACTCTAGAGGACAGGACTGTTGGAATTGCATTTGTCAATCACCCGTTTGCCCTCTTGGATCGTACCGTTCGGGAGTGCGCTCCGTTCAGGCAAATTATGAAGGCAAAGTTGGCGAAGTTCCCCAGCTCCCCGAGTACGCCGTGGAGGCTCATCATATACTTCGGCGAGGTCCGCCCCACGAACCCACTTGCATCCAAGAAGGACCCACGCAAAGTGCAGAGCTTCTACTGGACGTTCGCTGAGTTTGAAAATCTTGTTCATCGGGAGGAAATGTGGTTCATTGTTACATGTACTCCGTCGCTCATTGTCGAGACCATGGACAGCGGCATATCGCAGTTAGTCAAGCATGTACTGAAACACATGTTTTTCAATGACGAGTCTCATCACCTGACGAAGACAGGCATTTGCTTGGATTTGCGCGAGAGCGAAAACGATACCAATGATTTCACCAGGCTCTTTGCGCGTCATTACGGGACATTGGCTGACTTCAAAGCTATCAAGGAAGTCCTCGGTAGCATGGGCCACCGAGGCATCGTGCCATGCCCTTTGTGCCGAAACATCGCCAAGGACGGTAGATTCGGGCACCTCCCGTTGGACAATTTGGAGTGCCACCTTTGGGAGCCGCACTCGGACGCTTCTGTGCGAAACTTGCTGGGAGAACTGATGGTTGCAAAAACTGTTTTGGGTAAGACTGCTTACGCAGAGTTGGAGACCAGGAAAGGGTTCCACTACGGGCCCCACTACCTCACTGCTGATGCCGCCATGAAGCCAATCAGCACCACCATGTACGATTGGCCGCACATATATTTCATCACTGGGCTTTTCGAGTACGATCTCGATGAATTTATGCACAAGGCCAAGGCGGCTGCGGGGAGGAACAAAAAGGGCCTGGTGGAATACACAGACCTGCACGCGTACATGCAGCAGTGGACGTGGCCTCGGGAGTACAAGAGAACGGCTGAAATCTTCGAGACCAACAAGCTGGCCGCCACTGCGAGCGAGCAGCTGTCAGCGACACCAGTCGTACAGAGGTACTTCTCCAACGTGGTTGCAAAGGAGGAGAGCCTTGCCGCCCTCCACGGTGCAGCGGAATCAGTTTCGCTCTGTTGTGAGAGCATAGAGATGCTGCAATGCGCATCGCGCAAACAGGTGTCCGCGGTCCAGCTGCATGATTGCATCATGAAGCACTTGCATAAGTTTCGCGACGTGCACGGGCGAGGGCCCTGGCAATTCAAGCACCACCAGGCTGCTCATCTCGGTCCGCAGTACCGAGATTTCGGTTGCCTTTTCGACACGTTCGTCACCGAGCGAAGGCATAAGGACCCGAAAAAGTTCGCAATGAACCGCCAGTCGAGAGGCATATACTACACCAGGGGTCTCATGGAGGAGCTGTGCTGCCAACATTTTGCAGACCTTAAACAATTCTCGACGCACGTAAGCGGCAACTGGAGTGCGTTGCCGAAGGCGTTGCGCATGCCAGTGGGGGAAATGTTTCCGCGCGCAGCCAATATCGAGATATCTGGCACTTTCGTTGCCGAATCGGGCGCGAAGTTTAGCAATTTGGATGTCGTCCTGCTTGGTGGCGACAGGCGCCGACAGTGCGGGCAAATCTGGTATCATTTCTGCGTTGACGGCACTTACTGGACGTGCATCTCCATGTGGGAGTTCAGAAAAGCAGACGGCCGATATGCTAAATATAAGCGGGCTGAAAAGCCAACCCTAGTCTTGTCTAACGAGTTGCTGGCCCACGGAATTTGGCGATCAAGCGCCGACGGGGCTGTTACAGTTATATGGCCGCTGCATTATATGTTTGCATGCGGTTTGATGTAAGTCGATGCGCTCTCACGCTCTGTGCCTCGTGAGATCCCCAACCGCACCACCACAAACGACGAGCCCAGAAAATCTTCAAATCCGTATGGTATATTCGGTTCCCGAGCAATTATGTTATCATCGGCGCACACAACATCGAAGTGTGAATCCAATCAGCCCGTTTCCTTTTCCAACGAGGTTTGCCTTCCCTGCGTCTGGGCGGGCTTACCTGCGAGGAGTTAGAACGTCCTTGATGGCTCGAGATGGCTCCAAGACGGCCTCAGAGAGCCCGAGCTTCCAATATGGCCAAATATACTTCAAGGTGGCTCGAGATAGCATCCGACACGAACCAATACGGTTTCAAGTGCCCTCCAACCCCCCGCGTTCAAACCCACAGAGGCCAAATTTGCACCAACACCAAAGCAAAACAAATGTTTTTTGGTGTGTTCGCTTTTTCGCTTCCGATGGGCTCTTGAGGCGTCAAGATGACCCCGAGATGGCCCAAGGGGCCCCAAGAGGGCCCCAATGGCGCCCAAGAGCGCGAGAGCGCCTTTTTTGGAAGCTCCTAGGGGTGGGTGGGTGGAATTAAGCCCCCCTCTTTTTGAACAATGGTGGCCACTGCTCCAAGAGGTCCCCTATGCCACCAAAAAGAATTTAAGCTCCCCCCCAAGACCTTCCAAACGAGCACCACATGGCCCGAAGATCCCAATACCTCCGAGAAAACGCTTCCTAGGCGGTTGTTACGCTGCCTGATTTCACTACCACCGTCAGCACCTGCATCAATAGCAGCATCACTACAACCACCAGCAAGAGCACTTGGCAGCAGCGGTAGCACCAGCAACACCGCCACCACCGTCAGCAGCAGCACCAGCAGCAGCACCTAGCAGCAGCAGCAGCAACAGCACTAGCACTATCAGCAGCACCAACATCACCACCATTAGCAGCAAATGCATTAGCAGCAGCACCAGCAGCACCAGCAGCACGATAACCATCGCCAGCATCAGCCAGCACCAGCAGCACCAGCAGCAGCAGCAGCACCACCACCACCACCAACAGCAACACCAGCACCATCAGCAGCACCACAGCAGCGCCAGCAGCATCACGAGAACCAGCAACACCAGCAGCACCCGCAGCAAAACTACCAGAAGCAGCAGCACCACCAGCACCCACAGCACCACCAGCGGCAATGACACCAGCAGCAGCGCCAGCAACACCTGCCCAGCAGCAGCAGCACCACCAGCACCAGCACCAGCAGCAGCGCCAGCAGCACGAGAATCAGCAACACCAGCAGTAGCACCAGCAGCAGCAGCAGTGCCAGCAGCAGCAGCAACAGCACCAGCAGCAGCACCCGCACCCTTCGCTACCAGAGATCTCCCCAATTCAACAGTAGTGCCCGCGCTGTTTCACTATGGATGGGCTGGTGGGGATACGCGAAGTGTCAAGAATTTCGTTTAAGTTAGCATTGAAATTATAGGCGCGAACAACAGAAACAGAAATTTAATCAGGTTAACATCATGCGCACGAATGTAATTACAACCTGCGAAAATCTTGTTCCGAACATGGAAATATACGAATCCAGATTGCATGCTGAAAAAATCGACCTCCGAACATGGAACTCACAGAAAACATGTTAGCAAAATCGCAAACAGTTTGGAACCAAAACCATTGAAATTTAGAACCCACTGGCTACTTACGGGCTACTTACGGGCTACTTACGCGGCTACTTACGGACTACTTACGGGCTACTTACGGGCTAGTTACGGGCTACTTACGGGCTACTTATAAGTTACTTATAAGTTACTTATAAGTAGGCCGTAAGTTCATAAGTTACTTATAACTAGCATAAGTACTTATAAGTACCCCCGCCGCGCGCAGTGGTCCGCCTTGGGCAGCACTTGGGCCGTCTGGGGGGCGCTCTTGGGCCGCTCCGGGGCCGTCTTGGGAGCCTCGTGGGCCGTCTTGGAGCAGTCTTGAAGGCCTCTTGGGCCCTCTTGGAGCGTCCGGAAGCGAAAAGGCCAGAACGCAAAAAAACATAGAAAAAACCAATGAAAATCAACGATTTTGGCAACTTGGGGCCCTCTTCGGAGGCCTCTTGGAAGGCCCTTGGAGCGTCTTGGAGGCCTCTTGGGCTGTCTTGGGGCCATCTGGGGCGTCTTCGGGCGATCTTTGGCCGTCTCGGGCCTCTCTTGGACCGTCTAGAAAGCTTCTCGGGGCCCTCTTGGACCGATCTGGAGCCCTCTTGGACTCCGAAACAGAACTCCGGCATCTCTGACCCGACCTTGCCGGGGACTTGCCGGGACCTTGCCGGGGTACTTTTCGTCCGGGGACCCCCAGAGGCCGCCCCGCGCGCGCGAACTAGAAATACTGTTAACCAGGTACCGGAGATCTTACCACGCCCTGGCCCGTTGTGCCGGCGAATTTCTGGGATGTGGTCCTTAAGTACGATGTGAGCAGCATAATTCGAGGCAGGGGACCGCGAGTACGAGCGGGTCAAGCGCGCGATCGACGAGCAGGACACGCAGTGCCTCCTGCTCTCGAGGAGCGAGGAGCAGCTCCTCAAGTCGTCGGTCAAGGTTGCGGTCCGCAACTCCCAGGCCGTCGTGGACGCTATCGACGACTTCTTGGATATCCTGCCACAGGAGTGGAGGGTTTCTCCGAAGGGCTTAGGCGACCCGTCCTCCTTCTCCTCCTCCCCCTCCTCCTCCCTCCTCCTCCTCCACCTCCTCCTCCTCCTCCTCCTCCTCTTCCTCCTCCTCCTATTCGGGACGCCTACGGCCCTGAGGGAAACCGTGCACACAGGAGGAGGTCGACACGGCCAAGCTCGTGGCCGAGACGAAGAAGATCCAGTTTTTGCGCCTCCCGGCCACCAGGAAGGCCAACGCCACTGCGGACGGGGACGGCCTGAAGAAGTCGCTCAAGGTCGAGGAGATCTCGCCCGGCGCCGACCTGGCCAAGCTCCGGCCCGACCTGGCGCCGAGGGACTGAGGATTGGAGGCCAGGAGACCGGCACCAACCCCAAGACAGGGGGGTGTTTCCACTGGGAGAAGATTGTCTTGGATGTTGGCGTTGGTGGCAAGATTGCGGCCACCTGAGAAGCCCGAGTCTTACCACCATCACGGAGACTGGGATCATCTTCCCTTGGCGGAGGCCACCGCCGATAGAGTCAACCCGCAGAGTGAGGATGCGCGACGTCCCAAGGCTTAGGATGCACGACGTGGGGGGTGTTGGACGAAGAATAAAAAACAGTCAAAGCATACCCCAAAATAGCCCAAAATAGTCAAAAAGTCGCCCCCCTATTATTTTTTACCTATTTTTGAACATCCAAGGTTGCCCTTGCATCCTTCTCCTTCGGCCCATCCTTTGCCGCTTTCGCTGGCCGCGCCTCGCCCGCAACGTGTCGCCATGGCCTTCCCAGGCCCCTGCGTCCTGATCGTGCGTCCTTGCTACAGTCGGGGCGCTGAACAAGGAACCCTTTTCGTTGGGGAGGGGCTCCGTGTTCCTTAATTCTTTCGCCGCTTGCCTTAGGCTGTCCTCAGGTTTTCGATGGGGAACCGAAGCTTAACTTATGGGGAAAAAGGGGCCTCGTTCCTTATGCAGGGTTCCTTAGGTCAACGCCCCGACTGTACACGGGGTGACTGCACTGGTGTTGGTGCCAACCTCTGAGCCTCCCATACGAGCCGCTGCCGGGGCTGACTGGCCGCGCGCCGCCAGCGCGCGACAGCCTCGCGGCGCGCGGCGCCGCCGCCCTGCGCGCGCGCCGCCCCCCACTCGGGCCGGAGTAAAAAGCATGCGGTGCGCTCCTCCTCCTCCTCCTCCTCCTCCTCCTCCCCCTCCTCCCTCTCCTCCTCCTTCCTCTCCTCCTCTCCTCCTCCTCCTCCTCCCTCCTCTCCTCCCCCTCCTCCTCCTCCCCTCTCCTGCTCCTCCTCCTCCTCCTCCTCCTCCTCCTCCTCCTCTCCTCCTCCTCCTCCTCCTCCTCCTCCCCTCCTCCTGCTCCTCTCCTCCCCCTCCTCCTTCTCCTCCTCCCCTCCTGCTCCTCCTCCCGATGTTGCCCGCCATCCTCCCGCAGGTGTTCCCCGGAGGGGTCCCACAACGCCTGGGGGAGGTTTCTTGGCCGTGCGCCTCGGTTCCCGGCAGTCTCCACCGTGGGTGCTCGAGCGTGGCAGCGTGCGGCACGCGGACCTCCCCTCCCCGCACCTCTCCGCCGCCCGCCGCTGCCCTCTGCCGATCCTCTCTGCCGCTCCCCGCTGCCGTCTGCCGTCTCCCGCCTGCCGGCTGCAGCCCTCCGCCGCGCTCCGCCGCGCTCTGCCGCTCGCTGCCGCTCGCCGCTGCTTTCTCTGCCGGTCTCCTCCTGCTCGTCCTCCTGCTCCTCCTCCTCCTCCTCCTCCTCCTCCTCCTCCGCCTCCTTCTCCTCCGCCTTCCTCTGCTATCTCCGTTCCCACCTCTTGTCTCGTTCCATCATGGCCTCTTCGCCCTCCCTCCCTCGTCCTACTCCTCCTCCTCTTTCTCCTCGGGGGGGACATCCCACGGCCCCTGGGCGATTCCTTTCTCATCGATACTCCTCCTCCTTTCCTCCGCGCTCCTCCTTTTCCTCCTCCTTCTCCTCCTCTTCCTCCTCCTCCTCCTGCTCCTCCTCATCCCGCTTCTCCTCCTCCTCCTCCTCCTCCTCGTACTCCTCCTCTTGCTTCTCCTCTTCCTGCAGCTTCAACGGCGGCGCCCAGGTCTGCCGCTCTGCTCCGAGGCTTGGGGAGGATCGATACTGTCCCTTCTCGCTCCTGCTCTTGTCCGCCAACCTCTTCTCTTTGGGGTCACGTGCGCTCCTCACCCCTCCTCTTGAGCAGAGGGAGCAGAGGAGTCACGTCTACATACCCCCGACATGGGCATTTCATTATAGATGTCCCCTCAATCAGGGGGCGAAGAACGGTATGAAATAAAAGTTTCCGCCGTCGGGGACGTCTGCCCCCCAGGCGGCTGCAAAGTTCATACCCCCACGGTGCCACGTAGTAGTATTAACTTTCCAGCCCCCCAGGGATAGGCGCCCCTGACGGCGGAACAGTTTATGCCATACAGTTCTCCGCCCGCTAACTCAACCTGGGCGCGAACGGGCCGTGGAACACCGCTGGTCGGCGCCCACTGGGAAGGGCCACGCGCCCGAGACGTCCCCACAGTCTGGGCGCGAGCGGGCCGCTGGAACGCCCTTGGTCGGTCCCTCCTCGGGAGAGCCAAGTGCGATGTCGGCTACCTCGCGGCGAGCACGGGGCTCCGAAGAAGGCCGCGCCCACAGCCGACCTTGCACGCCCACTCTCGAGGCCACACCTTCTCCTCCTCCTCCTTTTCCTCCTCCTTTTCCTCCTCCTCCTCCTCCTCCTCCTCCTCCTCCTCCTCCTCCTCCTCCTCCTCCTCTGGGCGCGACCTGGCCCGCGGAGCGCCTCTGGACGGCCCCCCGCTGGGAGGCCAGAGTGCCATGCATGTCGCGCCGCGTCGCGCAGGCCACGGGGCTCTGGAAGCAGGGGCGCCCACAGCCTCGAGCGGCCATGTTGCCGCACGCCGGGTTTTGTTCGACGAGGAGCGACCGCTCACCATGCCAGGCTGAACAGACGCCAATCGCAGCAGTGCAAACAGCAAAATGTTGCTGCCCACCCTTGGGGTGCGGCCGGGCCGAGCACGGCTCCCCCCTGGGAGGCTCAAGTGCCGCGCCTGCCACATCGCGCGGGCCATGGGGCTGGGAAGAAGAGACGCGCCCAGGGGCCACGAAGACAGCCACTCTTCTGCGCAAGACGTCCCCGCCCTCTGGGCGCGAAGGCCGGAGTACCCTTCGTGCGTTCCCGCCCGAGTGCGCCTTGATCCGTGCATGAGGGTCCCGGGTGCCAGTGCATCCGTACACGAGTTGGTGCGAGTGTGAGTTATCGGTTTTGGGCGGGTTTGATTGCGCATGAGGTTGAGCGTGGGGCGAGTCTGAGTGCGAATGCTTTGAGTGTTGTTGGTTCGTGTGTGTGTGTGTTTATGTGAGTCTGACCGTGGCTAGGCTGAGTCTGCGTGGAACTGAGTTCGAGCGGGTTAAGGATGAGTGAGCCTGGGTACGAGTGAGTATGAGTGTGAATGGGTGGAATGGCTTTCAAGCCTTCTACCCCTATCTCCATTCCCCCCCTGTTTCTCTTTCCAGTATGGCCTCCTCGCCCTCCCTCCCTTGTCCTCCCCTTCTTTCTCCTCCTGGGGGACATCCCACGGCCCCTGAGCGATTTCTTCTTCATCGATCCTCCTCCTTTCCTCCTCGCTCCTCCTGCTCCTCGTCCTTATCCTCCTCCTTATCCTCTTCTTCCTCCTCCTCCCCGACGACGACGATGACGACGACGACGACAACGACGACGACGCCGACGCCGACGCCGACGGCGACGCCGACGCCGACGACGCGAGAGGTCAGCACACGCCGCGCCCCGCCCTTGACGCGTGGGGGCGGTCGAGGTGGCCGCGCGCGGGGCGGGCGCAGGCGCGGAACTTGCTGCGTTCAGCCCCGGATGAGAGCCCCGGTGGTTTTCGGGCCAAAAGTTGTTGTGCGATGTAGACCGAAGGGCCTACCCTAGGCTAGCCTGGGTCTCGGGAAGGGCCTCCCCTACGTAGGCTACCCTAGGGTCTCGGGAAGGGCCTACCCTAGGCTACCCTACGCTCTCGGGCAGGGCCTGCCCTAGATTATCTTAGGGCTTTGGGGAGGCCCCACCCTTGGCTACCCTGGGGCCTTGGGCAGACCTCCCTGGGGCCTTGGGCAGGCCCTGCCCTGGGCTGCCCCAGGGCATTGGGTAGGCCTCAGGATCGCCTCCCTCCCCGCACGGCTCTATACCCATTGGCTCGTCTCCAGCGGCCGCTCGGGACGGCTGCGGCCCCGCCCGAGCGTTGCCGGCGATCGTGGGCGACAAATACATGTATTGTGCCAGGAGTGACCGTCTCAAGAGAACATTCAATTTACTGTACAGGTGTGCACACAGGTACTATCGGGCAGGACGAAAGGGGGGGATTGGGAAAGGGGGGGTCCAGAAATTTGCTGCATGCAGCTGGTTTCGGCCCCACCGAGGGGCCCATTCCTCGATACGTAGCCGCCTCCGGCGCCGGGAGGCGCCGGGAAAATCAGCTACGTGAGCTGATTCTCAAACCCCGCTTCCTCCTCCTCCACCTCTTCCTCCTCCTCCTCCTCCTCCTCCTCCTCCTCGAGCGTCCGCCGTTCGCGAAGGGAGGCGCGACTGCGGGAAGGCACCCCGAGGCTGGCAAGGCCCCCCGCGGCGCCTTTCGCGAGCGCCCGAAGCCTTCGACGGCGCAGACGCCGACCGCCGACGCGAACGGCCGGGTGGTCCACGGCGGCGCGAGGCCGATCGCGCCTCGCGCGTCGCGGTCTGGGCCGCAGCGGTGGCCCTTCTCCAGAACGGGGCGGCGGGCTGGCGCGCAGAGGCTCGCGCGCCGTGCGATCGTGGGCCGCGCGGCGCGAAGTCGGGGTCCCAGGCATGCGACGTGCTGGCGGGGTCCCTGAAAGTCCCCACCTTTTCCCCGGGACCCGGGACCGGTCTTTCCTCCCGAGGCGTTTAATTGGACGGCCCCGAGGCCCGGCGAGGGCCCCCCGAGGCCGAGCATGGCCAAACCCTGACCGTCCTGATTTTTTGCACGACGCGACCATGTTTGGGGAACGACGACGATGCCCCCAGCCCCCCCCCCCGGGCCAGGCCCGAGGACGACCGCGACAGCGGCTCCGAGCACGAGCACGAGTGGGACCAGAGCGCCATGTTCCGGGCGGCCATGCGCGCGGAGGCCGAGCGGAAGGCCGCCGCCGCCGCGAGGCGCCGGCGGGCCCCCCCTGGGGGTCTGGGGCCTCAAAGAAAAGAAACAACAAAAAAAACACGCCATGAACATAAACACGTAGCGCTCCGCACGGGGTTCTTGGATCTGCGTCGGGCCCCCCCCCGGCGGCGCCTCTGGCGCCGCCCCTGGCGCGCTCCGCGCGCCAGGGAGGGGGGTCCAGCGCGGATCCAAGAGATTCGCGCGGAGCGCCAACGGTTTATGTCTATGGCGTTTTTGTTCGAGGATCAGAGGTGGAACGGTGAAACAGTCTAGCCTATCCCGGATGGGGTCCGAGCAGTTGAGGCCAGGGGATCGCGCCGAATCGGCGACGCCTCGGCGGTGCGGCGCAATGTGGAGCTTGATGTTCTCCGCGCCGCTGGCGCAAGGAAGCCTCGCCGACGTCGTCGATGCATGGCCGATGCATCTGCGATGCGGCGCGATCCTCCGACCCCGTCTGCTCGGGCCCCATCTGGGAGGCCCCTCAACAGACAGAGGCCACCGCCACCGCGAACCCATAGTGGAGTACGAGGAGGAGGAGGAGGAGGAGGAGGAGGAGGAGGAGGAGGAGGAGGAGGAGAAAGAGGAGGAGGAGGAGGAGGAGGAGGCACCGCGAACCCATCGGGGAGGGGAGCGATCCCTGGGCGGTGGCACGGCGGAGCGTCGTCCAGCCTCTGTGGGTCCCCCCGTCACGGCGGCGCCGCCCCCGGCGCGCCCCGCGCGCCAGGGAGGGGGCCCAGCGCCGATCCGAGAAATCCGCGCGAGCCTCGGAAAGTTTCAGTTTGTGCAGTTCTGTTGTTCCTCTAGAGGCGGGCCGAGGTATGAGGTCGAAGCCGTTTCGGGCAGGGTAGTTACCCCAAGATTCTTCGTGTCTGCTGGATGTTTTTTTGTGCCCCTTGGGGAGGGTACCCCTCAAAGGAAGGTCGCTCCGCAGTGAGGATTGGGCAATTTTGCGCTTCGGCATCCGCACCCCCCGCTGCACTTGCGGCCAAAGGGGACGGGCGCGGGGGGGGGGGGCGGAGGAGGGGGGCGGAGGGAGAAAAAAACAACAAAAGTGGGTAGGCAGGGGCAGCCGAGAGGCCCCCGCTTTTCTCGCCCTCCCTTCGTGCGTTCACCTTCTCTTTGCTCCCCATCCGCGCTTTCCCGCCCCTCCTCCCCCCGCCCTCCCCCGTCTATCTCCTCTTCCTCTTCTCTCGCTCCCGCTGCCCTCGCCGAATTCCCGCGGCCGTTCCCCCCCCCCCTGCCGCCTGCGCCCCCTGCCCCCGCGCGATCCTCAGCGCGACCTCCGTTCGCAACTGTCCCTCCGAGCCCCCCTGCCCGCCCCCCCGCCGGACCTCTCGGCAGCGGCACCGGCGCTCGCCGGGGTCAGCGCTGCCTAGCCTGTTTGCACGGCGCGCCCCGTCCAATGGGAGCGGGGCCCACTGCGACATGGCGTCGTGAGCCAGAGCTTGCGCGGGGATTCGCCGCCGCGCCAGGAGTGATCGGGCCCACCCTCGGCGGCGCAGCGATCCGCCCAGCTACGCCGTTCTTCCCGCGCAGCGCGCATTGCCATCGCCGCGCCGTTGCGTCGGGCGCCCGGCGCCCGCCCATGTTGCAGGTGGCCGTGGGCGCGCTCGCTGGCGTGGCACATGTGGGGGGGGGGGGGGGGCAGTTTGTTCGCGACGCGGCCAGCAGTGCTCACGTCCCGCCGCCGGCTTCTGCATGCCGATTGGCTTGTTTGTTGCGGGGGGCGGGACAAGCGGCGGCCGCGTAGATTCTCGGCGAGTTCGAATGGCGCTTGTTTGCCCCCAGCGGCATCTTCGCAAAAGGCACCGCGCAGTTGGTCAAGGGGTCGGGGGACCTTGCGGAAGGGGGAAATGTTGGATGAGTTTGATATGCATACTGATCAGAAGTCACGGAGGTCCGAAAAATGATTATCACGCATGTCGGTGCTCCTCTTAGCCAGCCGCACAGATGAGTTGGGGCCGTGGCCCATCCCAGAATAGAAGTCCATCCGCCCATTCTACCAGCGTCGCGGGGATGTCGGCGCTGTGTCCTCGCAGCTTGGCTGCCGACGACCGAGGAGAGAGGAGAAAGGAGAAAGGAGGAGAAGGAATAGCAGCAGCAGCAGGAGGAGGAGGAGGAGGAGCAGGAGGAGGAGAAGGAGGAGGGGGAGGAGGAGGAGGAGGGGGGAGAGAAGGAGGAGGAGGTGGAGGTGGAGGAGGAGTTAGGGGGGGGGAGGGGGAGGAGGAGGAGGAGGAGGAGGAGGGGAGGAGGAGGGAGAAGAGGAGGAGGAAGAGGAGGAAGAGGAGAAAGAGGAGGAGAGGAGGAGGAGGAGGGCATGAACTTTGCCCTGACCAAGCACATGCAGTGAGTGGGAGGGAGGAGGGATGAGAGGAGGAGGAGGAGGAGGAGGAGGAGGGGAGGAGGAGGTAGGAGGAGGCGTAGGGGGAGGAGGAGGGAGGAGGAGGAGAGGAGGAGGAGGAGGAGGAGGAGGAGGGGAGGAGGAGGAGGGGAGGAGGAGAAGGAGGAGGAGGAGGAGGAGGAGGAGGAGGGGGAAGAGGAGGAAGAGGAGGAAGAGGAGGAGCAGCAGCAGCAGCAGGAGGAGGAGGAGGAGGAGGAGCAGCAGCAGCAGGAGCAGGAGGAGGAGCAGGAGGAGGAGAAGGAGGAGGAGGAGGAGGAGGAGGAGGAGCAGCGGCAGCAGCACCAGGAGGAGGAGGAGGAGGAGCAGGAGATGGAGGAGGAGATGGAGGAGGAGGCCAAACCCACACGAGACGTAGGCATCAGCGAGCAGTTGGCGCACCATTTGCGCCTGCCCTGGCCCCAGCCGCCGCCGCCTCTCGGCGGCCGCCTCTCCGCTTGCTCCTCCGGCCACAGAGGTCCGCCGCCTCGGCTTCCAGCCTGCTGCCGGGCTCGCCCGAGGGCCACTGCCGCGGCACTGTCCTCGGCGCACTCGTGGTCACAGTTCGAGTGAGCCAGACTTCGGGTTTGCCGGCGTTGTTTGACGAGCGCGTCCTGGACCTTGACGGTCCAGTTTTCGTGGGAGATCTGCAGCGGGAGCTGGCGTCAAGTTTCAGATTGGGCCTCGCCATTTGTACGATGGCCCCGTCAGGCCAACCGACTCCCCGAACAGTGATGGAGCTGAGCTTCCACTTCAGCATGCAGCCGCGCCTCCCGTGGCCAGAACGCCACGCGCTTCGAGACACACTGCGCCAATTGTTCCACTTCTGCGGTTGCGGGCGGTGATGCGCGCAATGCCCGTCCGCCATGCCGCTTTCGGAGCAACTCCGTCGACCCGTCCGCGAGCTTTCTGTGGCTTGGCTTAGCTTTGCCCCTGCAGGAGGTGGGGAGGAGGAGGACCAAAACCGAATGATAAAACACCTGGCGTTGAACGCTGAGTCAGCAGACCACTTTGCGTTCATCCACAGCGTCCATGGTGCGCGCTAGAGCACCCCGACCGCAGAGGAGGGCCCAAGACGTAGGCTTCAGACGTTGTGAGCTCTCCGCGGCGTGGACTCCTGGAGGTCTGGAACTTTTCCCAAGAGCTGACGTTTCACCCCGAGCCGTTTTTTGACGGTCAGGGGGCCCTGAAAGGGCTCCCCGGGGACCGAGAATTTCAAAAGCCTTTCCTCGTTCCCTGAAGCCGAAATGTTGCTTCGCGAGAAATCGCGACTGGAGCCCTACACCCCATCCTCCTGCGTCGTGTTTCGACCCCGATCGATCTGTGACGGCACCGGGGCCGGAAGCTGGGTGACAACAACGCACAGCGTGAAAAAAGGTGCCGCACCAAGGGCCCAGGATGGTTCCTCAACGACCCGAGGAGGAGGAGGAGGAGGAGGAGGAGGAGGAGGAGGAGGAGGAGGAGGAGGAGGAGGAGGAGAAAAAAAGAGGAAGAAGATGAGGAGGAGGAGAAAGAGGAGGAGAAGGAGGAGGAGGAGGGGGAGGAGGTGGAGGAGGAGTAGGAGGGGGAGGTGGAGGAGGAGTAGGAGGAGGAGGGGGAGGAGGAGGAGGAGGAGAAGCAGGAGGAGGAGGAGGAGGAGAAGGAGGAGGAGAAGGAGGAAGAGGAGGAGGAGGAGGAGGAGGAGGGCAGGAACTTTGCCCTGACCCAGCGCATGCACGCGCCCACCGCCTCTCCGAAGTTTGTGTGTTCCCCCTCTTGCTGCATCAGGGTCATCCTTCGCCCCGCCGTTCCGTCGTCCTCGTTTCTCTTCTCACCTCGCGTTTTTGTGGACCCTCCCCAGCAATATGGGCGGAGAGCCACCGAGGGCTCCATCTGGGTAGTGTCCAAAACCTGTTAAGAAATGATGACTCCCCCCTCACACCCTGGAGCCCGACTGCCCATAACTCGCCGCCGAATAATCATTTTGAAATTGCCCCCCCTGGAAAAAAGATCCCACGGGAGCCGGAACGATGCGATTGATATATGATCCCGGGCTGCGAGCCCAGGGCCCCTGCCCCCAGATGGGATGTGTCTCAGGGTCCCTCGGGCCCCCGCCCCCAGATGGGATGGGGTTGGGGCGGACGACGACGACGACGACGACGACGACGGCGACGACGGCGACGACGGCGACGACGCCGCCGACGCCGACGACGCCGACGCCGACGCCGACGCCGACACCGACTACAACGACGACGACGACGATAACGACGACGACTAAGGTACCGTCCGCTCTGCCTCCCTGAAGCAACGCAACACCACGCCACACCCAGAGGGAGGCGACGACGGGGAAGACACCGTCGACGACGGTGTTGCTTCTCCTCCTCCCTCCGTCCCCCTCCTCATCCTTCCCTCCTCGTTCCTTGGCCCTCTCTTCCCCACCTTGCTCCCTTCTCTCATTTGAGCGAGCTGAAGTTTTCTTCACTTGAATACATAACGCGCGTTTTCTGGTCTCCGACCCACCCACCCACCCAGTAGATAACATAACAACATAACGCGCTCCGCCTCACTCACCCCCGTTGCAGCAGCTCCTGCTACTTAGCGCATAGACATGCATGCTATTCGTAGTGAGCGCAACGTGTTGTGTTATGCGCCAGCGAACCCACCCACCCAGCCAGCCACATAACGCGCGTTAGGTCGTTTCATAAACTTGAGCTCCTTCCTGTCCTGCTCCTCCTCCTCCTCCTCTTCCTCCTCCTCCTCCTCCCCCTCCTCCTCCTCCTCCTTCTTCTACCCGATGGAGGGTGGAGGGCCGGACCCCGTACCCAGCACGGCACACGCACAGGGGAAAACCCCTCCACGCCACGCCCTCGGGGGGGGGTTATCGCGCGGGGGGCGGGCCCGATGACATCAACATGAGGGGGTGTACATATACACAGATGTATATATCTATGTGTGTATGCATAGATGTGTGCATAAGTACATATCTCTATCTATGTGTGAATATGATTATATATATGTATTTATGTATATGTAGATGTAGATGTAGATATACACGCATGCAAAACTATATACACAGATACATTACTGCATCTATACATCTATACAGATACACGCCAGGGGACAGGGCTGGTGGCTCCGAAGGCGGCCCCTCGAAGCGCCATGGGGGCCCCAGGGCCCCGGGAGCGCGCTGGGATCGCGCCAGGAGGCCAGAGACGCCGCCAGAAGGGCTCAGAGAGCTCCAGGAGCGGTCCAAGAGGCCTCCAAGACAGCCCGAGCGCTCCAAGACGTCCAACCCAGACCCCCTCGGGCAATGAAATAATCATGACGGGAGGTTTTACTCTATTTTCGGTCTCTGGGGGCCCTGACCGGCCCTCGGGACCGTCAAAAAACGATTCAGAATGAAAATCTGGTCCAGGGGAATGGGTCGAGACCTCCAGGGGTCGACGTAATGACAAAATCTTGACGTCGGGGGTCTGGGGAGATGGCCTCAAGACGGCGGTCGCGGCCACGCCCCTGGCAATCCGGTTTGCCCCGCCTTCCTTCTTGTTTTCTCGATGCGCAGCACTACAGCGCTGGGACGAACCGATCTTGAGCTGCCCCCCCCAGACTGTCTTCTGCGACCGTTTCTAGACATGACGCAGACAAGTCCGCAGCTTCGAGGCCTCTTGGAGGAGGGCAGCCGGCGCGCGGCGGGGGCGGCCCGCAGGCCAGAGGCGGCGGAGGCGCGGCTGCCCCCGGAGCTGGCGCGGCAGGCGCGCCCCCTCGAGGGCCCCCCCCCCCCTCCCCCCCCCCCGCGGCCTGCGTGCGGAGGCCTCCCAGACCTTAGGCCGCCGAGTGCCCACGAGGTGGCTTCTTCCCAGCCGTCCTGTGGTGTCGGGCCCTCGCTTCGGATCGGCAGCGCCCCGCGTGTCCTCCGCCCGTCTCTCCTCTCCTCCCCTCCCCCCTCCTCTCCTGCCTCATCCCAGCCCCGCACCGAGGTCAGCACACCCCCATCACACGCCTCGTGGCCCCAGAGAGGGAGCTCCGCCCAAGGCCCCAGTGGGAGAGTCCGCATGGCGGCACCGCGCCTATGTTGGCACACCCTTTGCGCGTCTCATGGCCCCTAGAGAGCTCGGCCGAAGGCCCCAGTGGCAGCGTCCGCATGGCAGCACCGCACCCGCTTCGACAAGTCCCTCACACGTGTCGTTGCCCCCCCTGTGTCTCACCCGCCTCGCGATACTCGCAGCTGCACGTCAGTTTTACGGCAAGATCGTTTACTCGGTGAACCCGTAGCGTCTGCTACGGTGGGTCGCCCTCTCCGTGCCCCCCCCCAGTCACGGTACCTAATGTATGCGGGTGGGGGCCAGTTTCCCCAGCAGCTTGGCGCGGTGTTTCCAGGCATGCTGTGGTGCTGAGAGGCATGTTTTGGTGCTCACAAGCATTCGGCCTCGCGCAGAGGGGGGTGGGGGGATGGGGGATGCCTTCTTAGCAGCACCCCTGCTTCTTCGCAGGCGCGGGCCTCGTCTACAGATGTAAGGCCGGCGCCTTCTGAGAAGCAGCCCCCTTCTATAAGGAGCCCCTCCCCCCTCCCTCCACCCCCGTGTGCGCGCCGCCACAGCATGCTGTGGCGCTCGCAGGCCCGACCCCCCCCCGTGACGCACGCTGGGGAGAGGGACGAACAGCACTCTCCCCACGACCGTGGGCCTCGAGATGTCGGGCGCTGCCGTGGCTGCCCGGCGGTCTTCCGGCCTCGGGGCGTGTGCTCGGCAGCCGCGCCCCGCCGCGAGCGCTCCGGGGCGGCCCGAGGCCCGAGGCGTCCCGAGGCGCCGCGCCGGAGGCCCCGCCAGGGCAGCACACTTGGCCTTTAGGTCGGCCATGCCCCTCTGCAGGAGGAGCGTTCAAACGTAATCAAAACATAATGCACGTACGATGTTCTCATCATGTTCTCCATAGTTTGGAGACTTGTCGACTGCTTCCAATTTTCCTTCCAGAATCCGCCTGCAGGGGGGACATGCCCGACCGAACTTTGCCTTCCGTTCTGGACGTCGACCTGGGCTCTGAGCCTCTCTTCGCTACATGCGTCCTCACTGCAGCAGGCAGGCCCGCCTGCCTGGGCGTAACACGCCGCCCTCCCCTTGATTGCCGGCGGCGAGCGAGGGGGGGGGAGTGAGAAGGGGCGGGCCCTTCTCAGAAGGCTCGGAAGTCCCCTGGACTTCTGGGAAGTTTTGCAGGCCTTCCCCGAAGACAGAAGGAGCCTCTCCGGAGGCGCGAGGGCTTCTGAGAGCCCCGCCGCCCTCTGAGAGGGCCTTCCCCTTCTCACTTCCCCCCCTGGCTCGCCGCCAACACTGGGGCCAGTCCGACTGCAGGGCGCGAGGCGAGGCGAGCCGTGTGTTTTGCCCACGTCCTCGGACTCTAGCGGTCGTCTCCCGGCCCATGGGGCCGTCGGAAGCGGTGGTCGAGATCCCTAGGGGGCCACTGGGAGGAGTAGGAGGAGGAAGAGGAGGAGGAGGAGGAAAAGGAGGGAGAGGAGGAGGAGGAGGAGGAGGAAGGAGAGTGGAGGAGAGGAAGGAGGGATGAGGAGGAGGAGGAGGAGGGGAGGGGAGCGAGGGATAGGAAGGAGGGAGGAGGGGGCGGAGGATTAGGATTAGGAGTTGGAGGAGGGAGGAGGGGGGCGAGGATGAGGATGAGGAGGTGGAGGAGGAGGCGCAGAGGCGGAGGAGGAGGAGAACGGAGGGGGAGGAGGAGGAGAGGAGGAGAGGGAGGGAGGAGGAGAGAGGGGTGAGGAGGGAGAGAGGAGGAGGAGGGGAGGGAGGAGGGAGGATGGAGAGGGAGGAGGGAAGAGTGAGGAGGAGGAGGGACGAGGGAGGAGGATGAGGAGGGAGGAGGAACTAAGGGAAGGAGGAGAAGGAGAAGAGGAGGAGGAGGAGGAGGACGCAGGGGTGCGAGGAGCAGTATCGGGGAGGGGGAGGAGCCAGTGGATCTCGAGGGCGTCCAGAGTCCGAGCAAGAGCAGGAGAAGCAGCAGATGTCGGTTGCGCGCCTTGGGGGCTATGGGGGAGGC